ATACATTTGGTTTACTATTGAAGCCTTGATTGTTATGGTCGTACTTACATTTAATTTGACATCCTAATGATCAAAGAGAGAAAAGCAATGATTGCATTGGATTTAGTGATTAACTTTTTGTTCATAGGGTATCATAATTAAAGGAAGAAAATATGGGTTTTAACAGTAATTGCTTTACATATTATGTCTCAAAGCTCTTCTTTTATCCCACATTAGTAAAGCATAGTTTAGTGCTTATGATTCTTTGAAAGTTCTGGATAGGATCCATAAAAGTTATTCATGTTCAGAAGCAATTGATATCAATGTGAGAGACTAAAGAATGTGCTCTAATTCTTCCACTGAAATCCATGGGCTATAAACTTGTTTCTTTCTAATGCTGATGATTCTTTCTAATGCTGATGATACCCAGGTCTACCTCTCGTTTTCCACCAATCCAGGTGAGGCAGTGGCTGTACTGAACCGGTGCCTGGCCGAAGTAATGGGCTGGATGAGGGCCAATAAACTGAAGCTCAATCCAGACAAGATGGAGGTCCTGTTGGTAGGCGGTTCAGGCTTCGGAGAAGGTGAATTGAACCTTGTCCTGAACGGGGTTGCACTCCCTCCTAGGGATAAGGTCCGCAGCTTAGGAGTGCTCCTCGACCCAGAGCTTTCATTGGAAGCTCAGGTAACAGCAGCGGTGAGGAGCGCTTTCCTCCAGCTTCGGCTGATTCATCAGCTGCACCCCTATCTGGAGTACGACTGCCTCGCAACAGTGACTCATGCGCTGGTGACTTCCCTTCTTTACTTCTGTAACGCGCTCTACGTGGGGCTACCCTTGAAGATGGTCCGGATACTTCAATTGGTTCAAAATAGAGCTGCCAGGCTGCTGACGGGGACCGGACATTATGTTCACATGACTCCAGTTCTCCGTCAGCTTCACTGGCTCCCCATTGAAGTCCGGGCCCAATTCAAGGTGTTGGTGATGACCTATAAAGCCCTAAATGGCTTGGGTCTTGGTTACCTGAAGGAGCACTTACATCCATATATGCCCAGCTGCCCCCTGAGATCAGCGGGAGAGGCCGTCCTCCGGGAGCCCTCAGTGAAGGAAATTAGGAGGGTGGTTACTCGGAGGAGGGCTTTCTCAGCGGTGGCACCTAAGTTATAGAATGTGCTCCCCAGAGTGGTCTGCCTGGCGCCGTCGTTATTTGTTTTTCAGTGCCAGGCGAAGACCTTTTTATTTAAGCAGCATTTTAAATGTTAATACTATTGAATTTTATTTGGCCAGGGCAGCTTATTTTATTCTAATGTATGTATTTTAATTGTTATTGTTTTAATTTATTGTGTATTTTATTTTATGCTGTGAGCTGCCCCGAGGCTTTGGCAAGGGGCGGCATAGAAATGTTTTAATAAATAATAAATAAAATATAGCTCTAGGCACAAGTATTCCCAAATAATTGATAAACTCAACACAGCATGTAACTTAGTTATGTTACCTCTGGGAAGCATATGTCCAGATTTTGACCAGTTAATAGAATAGCTAGATAAATATCCAAAATCATCAATTATTTGTATCTAAGCAGGAACAGATGACTGGAGTCCCTAAGTAAACAACCAAATATCACCAGCATAAAAAGTTATATTCTAAAATGTCATGCACAAATCCTTGAGAGTACATGCCAGAAGAGCATGCCAGGGGAGTGCATTAGGAGACCACATGCCAGGAGTTGAAAACATAGGTCAAATATCAGTGGAAAGAGAGCTCAACCCTGCCTAGTACCTGCACCAAGTAAGAGAAATTCAGACAAAACACCATTGGCCCTAACTCTGGCTCTAGGGGTTTTATATAGAAATTTTAGTCAATAAATGAAATTCTGTAGGAAAAACAAAATATTTAGTTTATTTTACCGTAGTGTCTCCTTCTTTTCAATGGATGTTTAAAGTTCTGCTTTCCAGTACACAATAAAAAGAGTTCCCTCTAGTCCAGTAGCTTTCTGCTATCAATTTGTATTCCATAGCCACTGAACATGAGGCCTGTGGACTGCCCTGGACATGGAAATCCCACACTGATAGACTCCTTTCCCAATTTGATGTCAAAAGAGAGCGTCCTTTTAACACCATTTTAGTGGTTATTGCCACATCTTTTAACACTGAAACCCATATATTAATTTTGCCATGGATTTAGACTAAGCTAGTCATTCATCAGTCCAGGTGAAATCAAGGGTACTTATAAGTTGATCCATAAGTTGAATGACATTCAGACATGGCTAACAATGTATGAATCCAATCCTATATGTGTTCTGTAATTATGCAAGGATACAGATATTAGCCACAATTTTCCAGAACTGTCTTCCTGGTATGGATGTTCACTAATTAATTTTAAAGTTGGTATATCATCCTGTATGCTGTAGTTATAACTGTAAAGGTTATAATTTGAGAACTAAAAAAAAAAGTTTAGTCATAAAGACTCAGAGCTTGCTCTCTCTCTCTCTCTCTCTCTCTCTCTCTCTCTCTCTCTCACACACACACACACACACACACACACACACACAGAAATAGAGATATCAATGTGTGCTTGATAAAACTTTTGATAGCTCATCTTTTTTAATACACACACAATATTCTGTTCAATAAAATAACGCTTCTCATATTAGTGTGAAAAATATTATTTGGATGTAAAAACATAAACCTTTTACTATGACTCAGTAGAGATTCGTTCACAAAAAAAGGTTCGGTTAACTGTGGTAGTTGGATTTAATTCAAGGAAGCAAGTGATCCTGAAGGCACTACTCCAGTGTAATTCCCACTGATTACTGCCTCAACCTTCTGTGCATATATGCATATATATATATATATATATATATATATATATATATATATATATATATGTTTGTGTGTGTGTGTGTGTATGTGTATGTGTATGTGTACATGCACACACTACATGATCAGAGATGTCTGTACACTCACATCAATCAGGCTTTTGGTTTGTGATGGCCCTGGGACAAGGCACCCTTCCCTCAGAAGGCCTACTTTCTCACCATCATTGGCACCAGCTGTCTCTGCCCTTCATCTTCTCAATCATCCTTGCTACTGCTGGCTTCCCTGAGAGGCAGAGACCAAGTGATCAAGTAGGCAGTAGCACCTGCTCCTCCATTTTCTCGACTGGTTGCCTGGACCAGAATGAGAGGCAAGGAGCAATCAGATCGCAATGGAGGAGGAGTCCCTGTTGGGCTCTGGGTCCTTGGCAGGATGCTACCCTTGTTGGCAGCCTTCCCAAATGCAGATAATAATATATATTCATTCCACTGGAGGAAGCGCATCTGCATAAAACCAGGAATGCACCCTCATCTCTGTTTTAGCTTTAGAAGACCACTGAAGGTTTAGGAGCCTCCTGGGTAAATGACTGCAGTTCCAAAGGCCATACATGGCTCAAACATCCCATGTTGTCCTCTGTGACCAAATATTCAAATGACACACGTGAATGTTAGTCCCAGATTAAAGAAGCTTGATGCCCTGGACTAGGAGGCCTTCGGCCAAATTTGATAGCATCTGATCATGAGAAACAAAACCTCATTCTCTGCTTTATTTATTCAATGATAGTAGAACACTACTGTAATTTTAGCATTGATAAAAGGATTGTATATAAATTTATAATGTTTAATAAGTTTACAAAAGTATAGAATTAATGAAGTTGTTCACACATATCATTTTCTATGTAGTGAATGCTTAGATCAGGCAACCGATCTTGGGACATTGTTGAACATAGACCATCCTTTGTTGTTTTTTAGTCTAGAAAATGATTTTTGCCTAGGTATACCCCGGATTTTTATAGTTACAAAAAAAAATAACATAAATGGTGATTTGTTAATTATTTATTTTTGGCAAGAGGCATAGCACCCCCTAGATTAGGAGGGCCTGGACTGCAGCCTGCTCAGCTCATATGTAAATCTGACACTGGAGTTGTGCCAACTAGCAATTTTTCTGCAGATGGTTTGAAGTGTCATTTCAGATCTATCCTGCATTGATTCTAGAATTCTGGTTAGTGCATTTATGATCTGCATATTTGTTAGCTCTGAATTATTCGTCTTTTGCTTTGGACACTCTCACTCTCTCTCATTTGTCCACTATTACCTTTTCAATATATTCCTTGTTTTTTGCTATTATATTCTGGTGATCAGTTACAGACAAATTAGCTCAACTGAACTATTATTTCCATTGAATCCAACAAGTATTTGGCATAAGATACACTGTCTGGAAAGATTTTTAAATCAAGCTAAACTAAGATGAGTGGATATCTTACACTGATGAACCTCTACTAGAATTTCAAGCTATAGAAAAATGACCCAAGCTTGATTTATATTCTTCTCATGGGGTACCCCCATGCCCTCCAACTCAATGCATATAAGCTCCCATACTTAGAGCTTCACATACAGCCTATGCCCCAGAGAAGATGTGACTGGGGCTGCACTAATGCTGTGCTTAGTGCTCTGGTTTTTACTTGGACAGCCATTTTCAGCTATAGACAAAGCACCAGGAAGTTGGTGGGCGTAGGGGGAGAAAGGCTGATGCATTGATAAGAATTGGTGTAAATCCTTGGCTCCAGTCCCTTTTCCTCCTTGTCCCACAGCATGCCCCCTTTCCCCCTCTCCAAGACTCCTCAGGGGAGGCAGCTAACATGGTTATTTCCATGCTGACTACATGGAAAGATACAGGATCTTGAAGCCTGGATTTCAAATCATAGAATGACTCCTAAGACAACATCCAGAACCTATTGGATTGTGCCTGCACAGCGTCTCTTTACGTTCTTTGTCTGAAATTCTATGCATACTTTCATGAGAATAAGTCCTACTGAGCTAGGTGGGATTTTCTTGCAAAAAAACATGCATAGGATTTAAATACACAATCTCTTTGTGATCAGCAGAGCACTCTATATGTAACTCAAAGCAAAACACAATCTGTTGTCCAGAAATAATATTTATTCATCAACCATAAAACACAGAATAGAAAAAGCTTTGTAAATAAAACTATATATATATATAATGCTTTAATTTTTATTCAATACTGCACAAAAAACACCACAGACAATAACAAAATATTTCAATTAATTTAAAAAACCGCATATGTTATAGAATAGTTGACACTCTGCCTTTATCATGGTCTATCATGGTCATTGTTTTACACAGTTTCACTTTATTTCATAAATCTGTTTCTTAAAAAAATTGAAAAATTTGTTACTTGACCAAGATTTTTAACATTTAAAGATACCTGTAAACAACATAACAGTTCAGAAGGGTTTACACAGACTGTTCAATTGACGAATCATCTACCACTGGACCAGTCGAGACACAGACCTGGGCCACTTTTTGCACCTGCAGGAATCCTATAGGCATGCTCATTTGCATGAGCAACACATTATATTTTCTGGAACCCAAAGGTCTCAGCTATAGGCATATTTGGGATCTCTGATATTTCAAAATGTGTACCAGAGATCTCAGGAGCAGCTATAGTTGAGGTCTGTGAATTCTGTTTTGTATGTGTAGCATTACTCATGAAAATGCAGTGCCAGAAGTCCTATGGCATAAAGCAGCTAAAGGTGCAAATGCCTTGTATGTTCAGATGAAAAACAGCTTCCAACACCCAGCGTACACCAGTTTGCTGAGGCAGGCTGACAGTTGTAAGCCCTTTTTCTGCGTAAAGACCCACAGAATTTCACCTTAAGTGCGATGTCTGAACATGCCTTTAATTCTTAAATAAAAGTAAATCACAACTGAATTGGGGTATAAGTCAATTCAATGAAGAGAAATAATATTGGAACAACTACATATTTTCCATTGCCCTTTTGGTAATGTGATCTCTCCCTTTTTCAGACTTCTCTTGGCTTAAATACTCCAGGACCTTTGCTAGCATATCCTCATCCACATACGGTCTGTTTTGTGTATCATCATTTTCCTGGGCCATTGACAACCTTTTGCCAAGTGAGGTGAGTTTGTCTGAGTCTTGAGTTCCTAGATGGGTTAGATGTTCTTTGATGGCCTGCTCAAATTGGTCATCTTCTTGTAAGTCGTCCTCAGATGAAATGGCAAGAGGAATTTGTTTCACCTGACCTGTATTGATAACTTCGGGATATTTTGTCAGCACCTTGGCTAAGTAGTCTGCCAGGTCTTCTTCCTTTTCATTAAGTGCCTCCTCTTCCATTTGTCTTCTTTCCAAATGGTTAAGCCAAGCAGCTTTGGGAAGTTGATTACCTTTAGATCTTGCAGGCATGTAGGACAATCTTGGCAAGCCATTTTCTTGATGGAGACGATTCTCAGGATAAGAAGATTTCTGACTACCCATATTTTCAGTCCCTAAAAGATTGATGATATCTTCCATATTGAGATCTTCTGGCAAGTTATCTGGCATAAAATTATGTTTCAGCTTTTTATAACTGTTTAAAGAATTCATCTTATTTTTGAATACATCTGAATTGTCTAAATCAATTTCAGGGATCTCATCAATGTCTTCAGGGAGTTCAAGATCTTTTTCTTTTTCACTCTGATGCTTATCTGCAGCTCTCAGCATCTCAATTAAATCCTCAGGTGGGATTTGTAAATTTCTTGAAATTTCTATTAATTGATAAATAGACCGAGGATCAAGTTGCGTTCCAAAATACTTGGCTGCCCTTTTGTCTTCATGTTGCTTAACCCTTAGGTTATCATTGCCAGGACTGTTAATCATCTTTTTCCAATAATAATCCATCAACTTTGAGACATCATCTGACACTTGATTTTTGCTATCTCTTTTCATACCATCCTCCAGGCTACCTGCCCTCTTCACTTCATCATTGAATTCTTCTTCATTCTTCTCAATTTGCTCTTTACTGTCTCTTATCTCTTCTTGGGTTTGACTTTCCACTTTCTCTTCTATTGGATTCCAGTCCTCTCCTCCAACTACATCTTCATAAGCAATATTATTACCTTTATAAGCATCATCTTCATCATCAGCATACAATTTCTGTTCCTCATCATACCTCTCCTTTTTTAGGTTATTTGGCCCCAGCATTTTCCCTAGCTCTTGAAATACTGATTCTAAAGTAGCAAGACTTTGGGGTGTGTACTGTTCTTCCACTATTTCATTTGTCCGCTTATAAGGGCTATCTCTGGAATTTTCTTCGAAGTATGTGTGTGGCATCTTAGAATATTTGTGCTGTGTATCAAGCCAAGAACGGTCATCATAATCATCAGCCATGCCATCTAGGAATACATTGTCTGAACTCACGGGATAGGGTTTCTTTTCTTTTGGGGCAGCCTTGGATTCTTTTTCGCCTTGTCTTAGAGCTTCAAACATTGCCTTAACCCACTGAGACTCATCTTCTGACAATGATTCTCCTAAATTTTCTGGTAAGGAGGGTTGGTCTTTGTTTTCTTTTGACTGCAGAACAAATGGGACACCTTGATAGGAGTTGTAATCTGGGCTTATTTCTCCATCACTAGTTTGTTTTCTGAGGTTTTCTATATATTCCAGAGCTTTGATCATATCTGGGCTTTGAAGCCTTTGCAAGTTTTTCATAAGATAGTTTGGGTCTTTCTGAATGTTTTGGTAATGTTGAAAAGAAGCAGAATTGACATGACAGATTAGCACAGAAAGCAGGGCAAAAGGCAAGATTGTTCCAAGCCAGGAAGTTTTTGCATCAGCCATGTTTGAAATATTTCCTTAAAATAAATGAAAAATGAGCATTAGCAAATGAAGCTAAAATTTGGACATTATCTGAGCTCAAATGTTCATAGCAGCAACACTGTTGTCTAGAACCCTTAGCCATGGGGAAACCCATGGTCCTCCAGCTATTATTGAACTCCAATTCCCATTTTCCCCTACCAGCATGGTCAATGTTCAGGAATTATGGATGTTCCTTTTCAACAACATCTGAAGGAGTCACAGGTTCCTCACCACTGCTCTAGAAAATACCATACAAATATAAAAGGTATATTAAATATAACAAGCGGTTCTCCCTATAAGTTAGTTATAACAGCTTAGGGTTAGTTAGTTAGTTAGTTAGTTAGTTAGTTAGTTAGTTAGTTAGTTATAACTACAGTCTAATTATAGTCTGTAAGCTTATGGCAGAGATGTGCCTATTGCATATAACTACACAAAAACTATTGTGTAATTCAATCCTGTACCTATTTGCCAAGAAGTAGCACTGGGTTCAATGATTCATATATTTTAATAAGATTGTTTGGGTTGCAGCTTTAGAAAAAATAACTGTAAAAAAAAAACATTTAAAGAGTACATCATTCTTCAAAAGTTAACTATAAGATCACTTTTCCAGATGCAACCACAATCATTATATGATCCATAAAATGTGTTCACAGAAATGTAAATTTAGCTTTTTCATCTTCTTTCAAAGCACAGTCTTTAAAAGATGTTTGCTTGTTTATATGTTTGTTTGTTTGTTTAACATCTTCATTGTCCAATAGCCAAAGCTCTTTGGGTGGTTTACAACAGTTCCAAAGAGGACCCTAATACAATAAAAACAAGCATATTTTTTCTGTAACAGAAAATTTTAAGAGAACATAAACATGATTTAGCAATTTAGATATTCTGAACTGAAACCTTTGTAATAGGCAGTCTCAGAGTTTTTACCCTTTTACAGTTTTTTCATTTTTATCCTTTCAGGTACTGCCTGCGAAATATTTTAATATGGGTTTTGCAATTATGGGAAGTGAAAAAATTCCCTCAGACTTCTCCAATGTTGCTATTTTCATATTTGGTTGTTGCCTATTTCTTCCTGCCATTACATTGCCCCTGTGGGAAATAATTTCATACTCAGCAAATAATAAAATATTGAATCCAGATGTTCACATGCAATGAATTGGATCCTGGCTTAGTAATAAGTGCAGAAAAAAATTAAGTCCAATTATTTTAGTAGTACTACTCTAAGTATAATTAAATTTTGATCCAATTCAGCTTGGATATGTGTATGGAAAATCAATGAATAAATAAATATGAATACAGTTTGTTGATGCACATATTTCCTATTAGCATAAAAGTTTGCCTTTTTAATCCATATTTTAATTAATAGCCTTGTACTTCTCCATGTACCTGACAAATGCAGTCAAGTTTGACATGTGACTAAAGATACAATCAGTAGTAACAAGGCAGAAACCAAATATTAGCTTGACAAACTTATAAAGGGTTATAACTTTTTGAAAACATGCTTCCATAATAGTATTCCACCTACATGTTTTATTGAAGAAAAGTTTTCTTCAATGTGTATGGAAGAACTGGATTTAAGAAAGCCAAACATTAAATGGAAAAGCCATAATCTGGTACTGAGTTGAAAGCACCAAAGTCCACTAATTCCCATTGGCTCAAGTGAAGCTTCTTTTCTGCAGGACTGTGGCCATACAATTTTGTGAACCTGTTCATAGTAATAGGATGCTTACTTTTCCTATTTACATCAGAAAGGAGTTGTATGCAGTTCACAGTACATCAATCCATCATTCCAATGATTATTTATTTATTTAGTCATTCATTTCATTTCATTTCTATATCACCCTGTAGCCAAAGACCTCTAGGAGGTTAGTCATTTTTTCTTTATTTTGAGATCTATACACTATCTCTATAGCAGGGGCAGGCAATATGACATTGTCCAGATGCTTCAGACTACAACTCCCATCAGTCCAACCAGCATGGGCAATGGCAAGGGATTATGGGAGTTGTGTGCCAGGAGGGAACTAGGTTGCCTAGCCTGGTCTATAGCTTCTCTTTCTATCCTTTCCATGGGAGTGGATAGTGTCTGGCACAGTTCATTGGGCAGGCTACTGTGAAGCTGTTGTTAAAGCATTGCTCAATTTCTAGAAAAACAGACATGGGGAGATTCTCACTGCAGGGAAATATTACTGTCTGATCTAGAAAGGCTTTGCTCTAATCTCAGATGTGTGGGAACCCCTTTAGTTAAGCAGTGGTGAAGAGATAAGCCCCAAAAAGATGCTGTTATCTATTCCTACTTGATACCTTCCATGAAAATGCATTTTGAGGTTCAGTCCTGGTGAATGAATCAAGACACAAAGGTTACAGGGGGTACGGGCACAATTCAAGTTCCCTATCCAGTTCAGACTGGCTGAAAGAAAATGTGGGATCTCCACATGATTCTTTTCTCTTTTGAGTAACAGACAAGCCATGGTAAATCAAAAAAATTCCAGAAAACAAACAATATTTGCCTGATTCATCTTTTTCAGTCCATTCAATTTTTCCTCCTCTCTGCACTTTGTAAAACATCCTGTTGCTATACCAGTGATTTGAAAGACAAGGAAGGGGAAAAACCTGTCTGATGCCATCATACACCCACTGCTCTGAGTAGAAAATTACAGTGGATTTGTTATGCTATTCAAATACATTTCCTTTCCCTCTCCCTCTCCCTCTCCCCTTTTCTTTCATTTTCTTCTCTCTCTTTCTATTTGGTAATATAGTATGGAATAATTTCACATACTGAGGTACTTAAAGTACCTTCTAGTTCAACAGGATTGCCTTGTTTCTTCCTAGTGATGCCACAAATGAGTAGTTTGAATACCTCTATAGCTACCTTGTAATTTGTTAATTCTGAAGACGGGATGCAGAGGAAAATATTGATTCTAAAGCACTTCAAAACAGCAAGAAAGCTTCTGCCCTAAGAATGCCTTTAAAGGAGTGGGGAACACTTTTCTTCTGCTAAGAAAGATTGCAGTCCTGTATTTCACCAAAGCCAGAATCATTTTCAGTAAAACAAATTTTATGTACTTAAGAAAGGGAAAAAAATCTGTATAATATTAAAACCTATACTATGCAGGCAACATTTGGTTTACAGTTTGACTAGAATTTTGCCAAGTCGAAAACAGCATTTTAGCAGTGTTCCTTGTTTGTTTGTTAAAATATTGAAAGCATAGCAATGATTCTGTCTTTTATCTTGCACTCTGAACTATAAAACTTTCCACTTGAGTAGATAAATTACTTTTTATCATATCCATATGAAATGTTACTTCTGCTTTCAAAGATAAATGATAGAATACATTGAAAATTGATATTTTGACAGATTTTCATTTTCTATGATGCCTCATGATAAGATTCACTTCTTTCTAGTTACCATCTTTTAATTTAAACAGTTAAGGATTTTAAAAAGGGGCTTTTAAAGATGTTTCAATGGCAGCAGCAGCAGCAGCTGCTGCTGTTGCTGCTTCTTCTTCTTCTTCTTCTTCTTCTTCTTCTTCTTCTTCTTCTTCAACTTTTCTATTTTCTGTGGATTCACATTGTGCAGGTTCAATTCTTAGATTTCTAGATAACTGTTTATTGGAAAAGCCTGTTTATTGGAAAAGCCTACTTTAATTCACATGACATTTATGCAGTAGAAGCACTATCATTGCCTCAGTGGTAAATTTCTCATTATGTTCAATGAACTGAATGTTTCTACTACGGAATTGAAAAGTGTTCAATGATAGTGTTCCGTAAAGGCTTTGCAGAGATCAAGTATGCCAATTTTTTTTCATGGATTCTTACTCTTTAATCAGAACTAAAGACTATAAAATTAGTAATATTGTCTTTAGGTGTTGAAGCTTGCATTCCCCTGAGATTTAGATGCATTGCTGCTCACTAAAAAACTTAAACCTCCACATATACATGCTGGTGATGTACTAAGAACAACTGAAATTACCAATATCATCTTGAAACTAGATTGCCACAGTACTACCAGTTTGCACAGCTCTTATCTGAAGCCAACATTTCCCTCCATTTACTTGTTAATTTTTAGCATCCATGTTCAGATCACAAGGTGTGAAAGAAACACTTAATTTCCAAGTGAAACCCTGTTCTGTGTTGTGAAAGGAAGAGCATCAGGTTGCAATTTCTGTTGCTTCCAGACCATGTCGTTTTGTTGCTTTACCCTAATCTTTTCAGTAGCGGAAGCTGCTGGCAGAGAGCATATGCACTCGGTTGTTCATTCAATTTTTATTTATATTTTATTTTTCCCAATTAAAAAGAAAATACGTCTGCTTACCTGTGTTCAGAAGCAACCTAAAAGCATGGTCTTCCCAATGTGTTCGCTGCGAGTTTATGGACTGTTTTCAGCACCAGGACAGCTCCCTCTGCTTATAGTGTTCATCACCTGACTCTCCGCGGCCATACTGACGTCACCTCAGCCGGTCGCCAAAAAAAAAAGGAAAAGGAAAAGAGGAAGAAAGAACAGAGAGCGGGGGAGAAAAGGAAGCAGGGGGAGAAGGCGCAGCTAAGCTATTGAGAAAGATGCTACAGCAAAGCGTAGTGGGGGGGGGGGGAGGTTTCCTTTGTGCGTTTACGCCACCTGGCTTCCTCTAGGGAGTACTGCATCCTACTTTGCAGTGGGGCAGCAGTGAAATCCTCCTACAAAGAGGAATAATTTCAACTGCCAGATAGCTGCCAGTTTATACACTTCCACGCACACCTGTTATTTGATAATGTAGCAGGATCTGCCAATAAACCACTGGCCACTCTACAGTGAATCGGCAAGGTTTCCTGACTCCTTGTCATTCTACACTAGCTCAAACAAGGGACTTCCCTCCTGTCTTGCCACCCTAAATGTTATGAATGAAATTAAGAAGGCTTGAGATAACCAAGAGTGGATTTGTTTGTGGAAGAACTCTGACTTGCACTTAGAACACATTCCTGGGCTTAGGATTCTTAGTTCTAAGTGTGTATCCAACAGGTAGTGCTAAGGATCTTGAGGTTTTTCATGTGGGGGGGGGGGGATAGATCCGGCAAATAGATACTGTCCACAGCTGTATAGGAATTTAGTGTTGCTGTTGTCTTCAGTTGCACTCATTTGTGTTCATACTTTAAAGTTCACTGGAGGAAGTCATGTATTGTTTTCCTGTTTAGTTTCCTGAAAATCCATATGTGTCCTCCATGTGTATGCTGATTTAGGTGTCTGACAAGCACTGCAATTCACTGAAAACTGAGGTCTGTTCCTAACCTATTATAGGAAGAAGAAGAGTACAGCAAGCCATGAAGAAAAAGAGAAGAGACATCAAAGGTATGCAGAACTTTATGTGAAGGCCAACACATTTCAAATATTTTAATTCTCCCTTGTAGTGACATTAAGGGTTTGTTTTCCAAAGAGAAAATGACACCATCTCAACCCTTTGTAAAAAAAAATGAGGGGGGTCATATTCAATAGCAAATGCTATTGATACATGTAACTCTAAGAAAATGGCCAAATGCTGCCATTCAAGCAAATAGCAAATGACTTTCTAAGAAGGAAAGTGTGGGTGAAAGGGAGATGGTTCAGATTTAGACCACATTGGGAGCAAGAGTTATAGCAGTCCCCTGGCCCACAGTCTTCTTTTTCAAAGCCATGCACACAGGTTAATTGCTTGAATTGCAGTTGTTGATTGGGGATGATGTGATTTCTAGTCCAATTTACCTGGCAAGTATCAATTGGGGAAAACTATCCTAAGTCATTCCTTATCTATTTTTAAAGAACCCTAACCCTTAGCAAATTAAATGAGTCAAATTCTTCTTCTTAGTATACTTATACAGATGATTTTCATTATATCAGAAGGATATGTTATCCTTCTCAAAGCACGGCATTCTATACTTTTTAGTTGGTAATAGACCTGATTTTGTTGTTGTGGGATAAGAAAGACTTAGTTTTTGTCTAGACATTCATGTCTGTCCCTTATCTTTTAGTCTAGCCTTTCCAATGAAGGTACTGCTGTAGAGCAAAGGATTGCTCACCATCATTGAATTCCTTGATGGATCAAAGCCTAGCTTAAAGTTATCTTCTAAATATGGGCAATGAAATCCCTTCCTGTACAATGGTGGTTCAACTGGTTTCCTTATGGACTGAGACAGGAGCACAATACACAATCTATAGTCTCCTTCCCATCCTCAGCCATTCCAAGTTATTGGTGGGAGAGAGAAAAGGAACTAGTCAGATGATGGAATGCTCTACCATTAGCTGTAGTGAAGACCATCACCAACTTGGATGGCTGTGAAAGGCAATTAGACAATCTTAGGGTGGATGACTCTATCAATGACTCCCCATCACTGTGATTATATACTATCTCCAGTATCAAAGGCAGTGTGTATGTCAATTGCTGGGGAACATAAGCAGAAAAGAATGATTGCACTTATGTCCTACTTGGAGGCTCCCATTTGCTCCTGGTTGGGCATTATATGAACAGAATGCTGGACTACAGTGTGAGCCAGTGAGGTATGGGGCTGAGAGTGCTGGATTGGAGACCTGCAAGATATGGGTTCTAGTCCCCACTCAGCTATGAGTTTGGGTCAGGCGTGGACTCTCAGCTAGAAGGATAAAAGTGCCATGGAGAAGAATTATGTAAGACTTTGGGTTCCTCACAACAAGAGAAAAAGGATGGGATATAAATGCAATGCAGCAATAATGCAGGCCCTTGGTCTGACCAGCATACCTCTTCTTACGTCCTTCTGATTAGAAAGGCTATTTATTCTTAGTATCTCCCCATCTTTGGTTATTGAGAGTAAAATGCAGTGATGTGTTCAAGTCCTTTACTCCAAGTCTTGAATCAAGTCTCAAGTCTTTACTTTCAAGTCCAAGTCGAGTCTCAAGTCATTGCAAGACATTTTTGAGTTGAGTCTCAAGTCTCAAGAGCCAACTGCAACAGAAGAAAGGGAGGAGGTGGTGGGTGGGGTGTTTGGGGAGGGAGATTTGTAAAGCATTCCCATGCCAAAAAGAAGAGTTGAAGCCTCGCCTTGCCTTCCCCCTGTTGCAAACCTTGTCCTCCTTGTGCCTCCCTCCCACTGCCTCCCCCATGCCAAAAAGAAGAGCCAAAGCCTTGTTTTCCCCCATTGCACTGCCTCTCCCACGCCTGTGCCTGTCTTCTAGGCCATCACAGATGCCTTCTGCTGAGATCACCCCAGGATATCCTGCTACATATTGGGTCAGATGCAGGTGCTATGCCCTGGAGTGACTCAGAGGTAAAACAGAAGAAATCTTAAGACAAGTCCAGTCACACACTCATTGCTCCCAAGTCGAGTCTGTTGAGTCACTGACATAACTTGAGTTGGACTTAGGAGCTAGTTGCTGGAAGGAAGGAAGGAAGGAAGGAAGGAAGGAAGGAAGGAAGGAAGGGTATTTGCTATAAATAAGAATACCAGAAAGAAAAATAGAAAGGAAATCCAGTAAGTAACAATGAACCCTGACCCTAAGCCACAGCTTCCCACCGTTTGCAAAGTACATATTTTCTTGACAATGCTGATCACCTGAAGGATAAAATACAAATAGTGAGTGTGTGTGCTACAAATGCATACAAGCTTATATATGCAGGCCTTGAATTTGTACTATGTTTGGGGTCTCTTGCATCTCAATTAGCCTTTTCACTTAACAATGACATGCAGTGGACAGAAGAACCAAGTTCCCCAAGAGGAATACAGGTTAAGAGCCTTTGGTGTTTGCCTTTCCATGTCTTACCTACAGAACTCTAAGAACCTAAAATTGCATAAAAACATACAAGAACATAGGGAGAGGTATAAAATACAATGCAATATAACATTCTCAGAAAAGATTGCATAATGGGAGTTCCCTTTGTTTAAGATGCTTGGGTAAGCATCTTGCAGCTCCTGGCTTTGATGCCTGAAAACAACAGCTTGCATGGTTCTGCTCTGATAGACTTCCTCAACAGGGATTGATGGATATGTTCCTCCAATTGCCTTTGCTGAACTCATCCATCATTCCTGTTCTGTTTCTTAAGTCTCTGCTGCACTGGACCTCCCTTACATCACCTCTGACAACATATAATCTGCACAGAGAAGGCTTAGGTAAATTCTTCTCATTTCCTTTTTTATTCTCTCTGTACCTCACACAAGTTTCTCTGCTATTGTACTGTTAGCGTCTCCTTTCTACTCCTGCCTTTGAGCCATATGGCGTTCTTATGCCTGAATGATGCCATGTGCAGACAGCTATTATGCCTCTGTACTTGGAAATACATCCCGTTGTGAGTTCATTGAGGCTTAGTCTCAAGTAGGTGTGCACAGGGTTTCAGCCCACGACTCCAAAACCTAGTCCATATACACCCTAGCAAGCAAACTGTATGTGTATTAGAGAAATAGGCACTTATTCCTCAAAGCATTGGTACAAAATAGTATCTTATATGAGTAATAAAGCTCTGTATTTGCCTGCAAGTGTACAATTCTCATGATCTCTTCCCTGCCCTCATGAACATCAGAATGCAACCTTTCTTATGAAAGCAGTGGAGAGAACACACGAATTCATTCTCATACAGCATGTACAGGATTTTCTGCCTTTGAAATGTTATTAGTTGAACTTATTCCCTCTAAATAAAGCCACAAAAATGGCAGGACAAAATGAGAGAGGCCCTGGAGAACAAGAAAGTGATTATAGTAATGAAGGCATACATGAGACAAATAATATGGTGGCCACACATGCATATAGAATAGTAGAGTTGGAAGGGGCCAGAAGGCCATCAGGTCCAATCCCCAGCTTTTGCAGGACACTACATTATACCATCACATTCATATGACTGTCCAAATGCTTTTTGAATGTCTCCAGCGAGGGAGTCATACTGCTCTGACAGTGAGGAAATTCTTCCTGGTGTCTAGTCTAAATCTGGTTTCTTTTAACTTAACTTGGTTATTCCATGTATTGCACTCTTGAATGAACAAGAAGAGATCTTGTCCTGCCTTTCAGATACTTGTAGAGTACTATCATATCTCAGTCTTCTCTTCTTGAGGCTGAACATGACCAGTTCTTTCAATCTGTCAGTAATGGACTCACTAAGGAAGCTATGATTGGATGCAAAAGTGATATTATTGTGTGTGTGGGGGGGGGGGGGGGGGGGGATAATCTTTAAAAACTTTTCTTCCCCCGCCCCCCCCCACTCATGTGTTTAGCTGATTTGGGTTTAGCATGGATTAAAAGAAGAAGGGAGCAAGTTTACTTCCCTGTGATTGGTGTTTCAAAACTGCTTAATATTATAATGGCAGATTATTAAATTTTTCTAGCAAAATACAGGGTCCTTGATTACATAGAAGGAAACTGTGGGCAATCAACTTATAGATGTGCTTGCTTTGTGCATAGATAAGTTGTCAGCCTGCAGGCTTCTATGTACACATTTCAGAGACAATGAAATATTGAAAAGATGAACACCATATATTGTATTTATTTTAGTTACAAAAAACAAGTGAGGATTCATATGAATGAGTTGTACATAAAGGCCCAATCATTTCTTGTGTATTTCAATAGGTTACAGAAAGGTTCCAGGAAGAGTGAAGATGTGTGCCCTTTCAACATAAGGACATTTTGTTCCATCTATCTAAAATCTGATGGATCTGATCCCTTGGAGGAGTAATAAGAAGGCTGCAAATTTCATGCCAGTTGGAAAAAAAACCAAGTGGAATAAGCAGAAGAACAGAGCCTAGGTCTCCCGTTAAAGGCAACAAGAAGTTTATAGGATCTGCAGCTTTTAAAATTACATCTAATATCTTTTTTTTAAAAAAAAAACTTGGCAGGTCTTATGCCCTGAGGGAGTAGTATGATATCTGAAACTTCATGCAACAAGATGGGTCTGCTATGGGATGGGTCTGCTATGGTTATCAATGGAAAATGAAAATGAATTTCTTTTACAGAACTAATTATTTAGTTTAACAGCTTGTACAGGTTGCAGGGAGACTGAAAGGAAAAAAGAGCAATTAGACTTAAAGAGAAACTGCTCACTTCAGAGAGATTCCAACTGCCTCCAATGGAAAGCAACCCATTTCTCACATGGTTCTGGTGAGCTGCCACCATGCCAAAAGGCCACAATAAACTTAGCTCTGTTTAGGCATTTGCCTGAACAGAGGAGGGTTCAAAATGAATAGGCGGCTGGGGCCATACACACTGGTTCTGCTGTGCTCCCCATGACCCCAAGCATGCACAGTTTAAGACACATCTCAGGCCAGGCCTGTTGAACCCAGCAAGAGACCGAGTTCACTACACCAATCAGGCATTTTGATGGTAACAAGGGTTTTCCTTGTGTTCAAGTGAATGAGAACAGAGGTCCCTTTCAGAACCTTTCAAGTCTCAACTGTGGTGGGTGGGACCAAGCATGCAAGGCCCCTTCTGCTCTAATGTGTAGGCTACAATCTCAGATCATTCCTCCATAATATGCATTCAAATCATGACTCTTTTGAATTGTGTCCCAGACTAATTAGTTCTTCTGGAATGAAAGGATCATTGCAAAAGTTGTTGGTGGCTTGACTGGCAGTGGGCAGCTCCTAGAGGCAGGGTCTCAAGCAGGTAGAGGGAGCTGATGGCACCCAAGTGTGATGGGAGTTCATTGCAGCAGCGGGCAGAATAAGCTTAATTCAGTAAGGTGGGGCTTTTTTTTTTTTTTTTTTTTTTGGTGTTTTTATGTGCCATCGAGTCATCTCTAATTTATGGCTTCCTCTCCTTGACAGCCCTGCTTAGCTATTGTAAATCCAAGGCTATCTCTTCCTTTATTGAGTCAATTCATCTCTTATTTGGTTTTCCACTCTCATTTCTTTCAGGGCCATCCATAGCGTCTCATGATTCACACAGTCAAAGGTTTTGCTGTAGTCTGTAAAGCTTGAATAGGAATCTGTAATGGTGATGGAAGCAGAGAAACTTCTAAAAGGCAGCTTGTGGGCAGCACCAGTAGTTTAAGGTAATACTGGTGAAGGATTTTTCACAACAGCAGCAGTGATATTCAAAATAACTGTGGTTGGTACTCAGAGAAAAAGTCAATGGTGAATAAGATCTGATTTTTCTTACCTTGAAAACCCTGTGGAGAAACAATCCAAAATGTGGGGCTCAGGGCAAGAGTATTTATTCTACCCAATGTGCCAGGTATGCAAAAGGCTTTGTTTGGCTCATGTTAGGTCCACTGTGTCTTTTCCTAAAGTGCAATTCCTTGCTATCTATTTTTTAAAATTTACTGCTTAGGCCTCTCCTGGTAGTATCAGTATTAGGTTAGTCACCTTCCCTTCACCTATTTAACCATCCACCTCCCCCTTCCAGGCCTAGTAGCTGCATTGATTTAATTGCAGCCTCATTTGAAGGTTGCCATGTTCAGTTCAGATGCTGTCTAATGTTCTATGGCTGTGTTTTTACAGATGAGAGTCCTATTGCACCATCACCCTTCCCATTTGCAAGGGGTCCAGATTATGCCATTTTTAACTCTTAACTTTCAGTGTTTTCCCACTGCCTCTCCCAAATTTTCTTTTACTCCCTACAAATCCACTAAGGTAAAGGACTATGGCTGCACAGTCTCTTCCCATAGACAATGCTCAGAGCCCTCTGTCTGGAAGCACTTTCTTTTCTTTGTTGTGTGTATATCGTCTGCCCGTGTGTGTTAGCATCCAGACAGGGAGATGATACACAGATCATGCAAACCTTACAAGCGAACACTTACATAGTTCAGTAAAGTATATCATTACATGAAAAGCAAAGCAGGAGTGTTGCAAAGACTGTATTCCAAAGCTTTGGAGAATAAGATGAAGCCAAGATCTGCTTTGCATCCAAAATGAAACTGAATGCTTGCCAAATCTCCAGGCTGAAGTGGTCCCCTTTTCAAAGCCTTTATAAATAGGCAGAACAATTATACAGTTCCTAGATAGTGTCTAGAGGGCTATAGGATTATTAAGAAAACACCTCTGACCTAGAAGCTAGAAGCCATTTTAGGGGTGTCCTCTCACTCCAACTGCAGCCAGAAATGGACTGGCTGCTTGTCCAACAGCAACCTACCTCAACAAAGGGGTTTAGGTGTGTGCATGGGGGTGTTCCATGGGGGGGGGAGGGGAGGAGACTGACAGCACCAGGATGCAGCTTATCCGGGCAGTTCCTCAGCCTCCTTCCGTCCTGCTCTAACAGTCAACATTTGCTGCCTACTTGCTTTGCAGAACAGACGGAGTGCAGAGGCAAACTTCACCACTGCAGTCCTGCTCTGAATAGGATGCTTGTAATTCTCTGAGATCAGAAGGTTACAGGCAGCCTCACTGGGTTGCACCCCAATTTTTTTCTGTAATACCCCTGATAAAAGGTTATTGCTAGCTAATTAAGCTGTGCAGTGGCCAATTCAGTGGAGTTGGCAATTTGTGAAGAGTTAACAATAGCCCATTTCCTAATTGATATAGCTGATGTTGTCCAAGTCCAGTGCCACTTAAAAATAAACCAAGGTTCTCTATTTTCTGAATCAATGTTTTGTATGTGTCACTTAAATGACAGTGAAATGTAATCTATGTTTTATTCCAGATACATAATTTCTTGCAGAATAGAAATGTTTACTTTGAAAAATATATTCTTCTCTAAACCAACAACAGCAAAACACTAGCTTTATGTGTGTGGAGGAGGGGCATGTTTTAATAGCTCCATTATAACATATCACTGCAGACAGGAATGCCTTGAAGGCAACTCGGAAGGTTTCATACAATAAATCACTGCTATTGCATTCCATATTTTGCCACTTAATTTCAAGACATTTTTTCCTGCATGAAAGATCAAGCATATTTGTATGCAAATGTTATACCTCTGACCTTCATGCACACAATAAAAGGCTCTGATTTTCATTTCTGATTCACAGAGGAGAACAAAACAGCCATCTTTGTGGGTCTTAAAATGATAAGAATGATAAAAGAATTTAGAATAGCCAAATGGGACAACAGAGTTATAAGATTAATGGGAGAAATTCCATACTACACAGCAGGATATAAGATGAGCCATAGAAGTTCTGTTTAACTTACTGATCTGCTGAAGTCCGGTCCACTGAAATAGACTGGCAATATCAATAGTGATATTTAATGATAATGCTGTTAGATTAATATTAGGGATGTATGGATTATGCTAAATCATTCCATCTGTATTTCAGATATTGTTGATTGTCTTTCATTCTGTCATCTGCACAGTAATGGAACTGGTCTCTTTTAAGGGATGTACGAATACGATAAGATCTGTAAAGCCCCCATATAGCCTGAAGGGCCTGATGCTGCCTAATAGTGGAAGTTAAGCAGGGTCAGGCCCAGCTGAAATCTAAAATGTGAACTGCTCAGAGAGCATTGGCTATACATGGTATAGAAATGTAATGAATGTGGTGATGGTGATGATGATGATGAGCTTTGTGATATCTTTGCTGGTCCATTTTGTTAATGACTTCTGCAATGCACCTGTCTTGTATCAGCCTCGCCGGTCAGTTCTAACATAATAAAGACTATAATCAGAAGCCCTATGCCCTGCCCTGGAGGAGGGAAGACTAGCCGCCAACAGATATCTGGCTACCCTAAAAGCCCACAGTAAAAGGCCAGGAAACATGGGTCTGAATTAGCTTTCCCATCTGGAACCCTCCAGATGTGCTGGACTAGAATTCCCATACAGGCTGAAGTGTGCTGATAGTTACAGTCAAACACAAATAAAGGGTACTCACCTATGGTAGTTTGGGCCAAGTAGATCTTTCAGATCAATACGCTCCATATCCTGGACCTGAGGACAGAGTAGTCTCCTCATGTGTTCCCAGTTCTCACTTTCATACACTGGTGGCACACACTATTCATATGGCTGTATTAAACTG